GGGCAGAAGCAAGGCCGACTGCAAACCTCTGAATGTGTCCGACACGACTGGCATTCAGTCTGCACTGAGAAACGATGCTGTTCCTGCCGGCGTCAAAAAGAATTGGAAAGCAGCGAACCCAGGAGTGGGCTGATATGCTGTTGGAAAAGGATGGAGGAGGGGAGCCGGAAAGAGAGCGAAATGTGGACTCTACGGGGATGTTATCGAAGCAATTTGATAACTGCGGCGTCACAGTGATAACAACTGAAGAGCCGAGACTCTGCGGTGAGTCTGACGTAATCATTGTTTTCTGATCTTACTAAGTACCCTCTCTATCTTCTTGCATTCCAATCGCGCAAGTACCACTAGAGATGGAATTTGGCAGTGTCGCCCACGTGCAATATTTAATAAAAATTTAAAAAAAAATCTCCCCACAATTCCTCGCCTATTCAGCGAAACTGGACACAGACGCAATGTGGACGAGCAGGCGAATGTTAGTGTGCCATCAGAACTAGTTACCATTCGTCGGAAATAAGCAATATGCATTGCAATTTTGCAGGTGCCACATGAGAGCACTGGCGCGGAAGCCTCGATAATCCCTCCAGGCAATGTCCTCCATAAAAGCTTTTAGTCAAAATTAAAAAAGTATTCTAAAGCCAACATGCTGAAATTTCCAAAATGATATTTTCAAAATGAGAGGGGAAGAAAGGAAGACAGGAAGGGGCGGAGATAGAGAGAAGGTGAAGGCCAGACTCAGCACAAAAAAAACAGCCCTTGCAGAGGGTCAAAACAAAATTTTTATTTCATAATCATGTCCGTATATTAAATCATGACCGTATATCAAATCATTCCCGTATATCAATCCATCGATCTCTACTGCTTGTCCCTTGGGACAAACAGTGGAGATCAATAACGCACTTAGTTTGAGGTAAACAGAAAAACAAGACCGGTAGCTTTTACCGAGTGGAGACGTCTTCTAACAAAAACACAACAGAACTGGCAACACAGCAGAATTGAAAAGTGTTACTGTTGCAGTCGAAGTGAAACATGGAACACCGCTTTTGCAGAGGACTCCATGCGCCATGGGACCGCACACGGTGGATGCAAATTGCAGTTGCTTTCTCAGATAAATTCTGTGATTTTGGCCAGATGTAAGCAAGCAAAACAGCCGAGCCGGTCGATTGGCAAGATTGAGAGGAGTAAATGCAGTAAATAGCGGAGTGTACCAGGGTAGTGGGTGATCATGCATTTTCTAGCGGAG